TTAAGATTCTCAATGTGATTTATTATCAGTGAACAAAAATAACTATGAAACAACTAAGAGGACAGTAAACACTGGCAGTTTAAAACAGCAACAGCCCGTAACCGAACAAAAGGCTTGAGGGAAATCAAAATACTGAAACCTGTGGCATCCCACTTATGCATATCAATCTGGCCACCGTGCCATAAGAACTGGCTTCATCTACTCTGCTCACACTGCTTTTGATGGAAAACTGTTGGTCCATTACTGCTGTCATCACTACTTGGACAGGTCTGAAAAGGTTTTTCTAGATGAGACTTTTATTGTGCTCTTGCCTTTTCTCACTCATGGTAACTTTATGGCTGCTTCAGATGACATGGTGAATACTCAAATTCGCTTCTGCTTTTAGAGAGCGGTTTTGGGAAGAGGAGGTAGGAACTGCAACATGGAAAATCACAGAGGGAGGCATCTCAAAAAAAGCTCAAGTGCTCAGCAGGAGGATGCCACCTAAAGGTTATGAAGCAGGAAGAAAAATAACTTTATAGAGCTGCAGTCTTAATTCTGTGATGCAGCCAGAAACATTGGGTTAGACAGCCTCACTTAGTAAGTCATACATGGTTGAGGGGAAGGTGAAGTCCTGCTTTTAGTGATGTCTTCAAAGAATCATAGTATTCAATCTTGTATCTAGTTTTATATTGCTGAGTATGGGTCCTTCAGACTGGATGTATTTCAAATCTTTGAGGCATAATATCTTCATCTCAGGTATATGCATCTCAGGTGGCTTTTTTTAAAGACATAAGCCTAATAAACAAGGTTTTTCTAGATGGACCAGTCCTCGTGCTTCCAATCTAAAGCACTGCACAGCCGTTAAATTTGTTCTACCTTGATTTTTTTCCCCAAAAAGAAAAGATGGAAGAGGTGGCAAAAGAACACAGAATGGAGGGAGCGTTGTCTGGAAACACCTGCACCCCTACCAGAAAAGTTTAGTGCAAGAGGTGGGGCTAGGGCACAATAAAAGCCTCATCTGAAGACCCCTGTACCTGTAACTTTATTGCAAGCCAGCACTGGAAGGCAATAAGCATGAGAAACTAAACAAATACACAGCCTGCAGCCTCCTTTCTTTGGTCATTGCCCCTAGGATGCATGGAGGCTATTGACTTCTTTTTGAAAAACTACTTCTAGAATTTGAATACATTTGGAAAGTGTTTTCTAGTCCAATACAAATCTTATATATAGAATGCTGTCTCTTCATTTTAGATCTGTGAGAATCGCTTCCTCAAACCATCTGAAGCTGCCAGTCATTACACAATGGTCTGTAAAGTGCTCTTTGCTGAGTATGTTGAGCTTCATAAACTCACAGTCACTATACGGAGTTGCAAAGAGGTATGCTGGAAGAGTGCACAGGTGTGCCCAATTTTTTTTCATTTCCCCTATCTCATTATCTTCACTTTCCCATAAAACTTGAAAAACCTGGTAGGAAAAATAAATTGCACAGGAGGCTGGGGGCCAGAATGTATAATGCAGAGGTCCTCAAACTTTAACAGGGGGCCTGTTGAAAGGCGAGGGTGCCTGTGAGCTGGAGGCAGGCAGGCGTGCACGCAGCAAGGCAGCGGCTTGCTCTCTGTGATTGTTTTCTCCGAGTGAGCGAGCCGCCATCTTGCCGAGTGGGCAAGGCAGGTGGCGACAGCGGGCACAGGGAGTCCAAAACCTCTGGGGGGGGGGGGGGGGCAGATAAATGGCGGATCTGGCCCACAGGCCATAGTTTGAGGACCCATGGTATAATGGCTTTAGAGAAGGAGCAAATCAGTGACAAAGGCATTTTTTTTATATCTTTCAGTATTTGGGAACAATGGACATGAAAGGCTGCACTCCAATACAGAAGGCAAATGACTTGGTATGAGTAGCTCTCTGACTTTAAAAAAATCTACTATGAAAGAAGTACTTTTGTACCCTCTTCTCTATGTACAAAGATGCCATCTTACTCACCAGCATCTGCAATATACAAGCTTTTGGGCTAAGCATAATTCTAATGTTAGTGTACATCCTTACCAATGTAAGTTAACCAGACTTCTCTACTCTCATATGTACTCCCCATTCCAAATGGGCAGTCAGGAGTTATGGGGCAGAAATTACAATCCAGGCACATGCTTACTCAGAAGTAAATTCCAGTGTGTTCAATGGGATTTTCTCCTACACTAGTGTGCATAGGTTTGCAGCCTATGTTTACCTTGTAGGAGAAAGCACTGAAGACTTTGTTTTTTTAGGAATATTCAAGCAAAGCACACTTAAGGTGAGACAGAACACACAGCATTCACCAGCTGATCAGAACAATTTGTGCAGACCCCTATACTTTCTAGCTAGAAAACTCATCTCTGGCCCACACCTCTTCATCTCAAACTGCCATCTTATTTGTTTAGCTGTTGCTTTGTCCCATTTCCTTCCACTGGGTACCTTATTTCAAATGCTGGAGGTAGCTTCCAACTATCAGGATGCTGCATTCTGTCACTAGCTCCCATGAAACCCTGGTCAGCAACCTTGTTCACTAGCTAGTGATCATCTCAACAGAAGACTGGCCAATCACTATCCAGAATACTATGCCAAATTGTGCTTCCTCTGATCCCCTTCAGGAAAGCCTTCCAGGAACTTGGTCAAAAGTAGAACATTCTGCAAAACACCCCACATTCATACAAACTGCTGATGTTATTGCTAGTTCATGATTACGTTCAGGAGCTTTTAATACTATCCTGATCAAGAAGGGTAAGGGGAAAGCACCCATAAGATAGAGCTGATTCATGATTTCACACCTCATTGCTTATAAGCAACATTTCACGTCTGACTTAACCTATCAGAGCCTCTTTTCTTCTGCATAACACCACACTTTCTAATGGCTGTTACTGAGGTCAATATTCAGCTTTAATACTAGTGCATTGTCAGTTCAGATGTCTCTACCTTACACTGACTAGCTTTTAAGCATATTTTTGTATCAACTTCAGTGTTGAATAACCTGGTCTGTTTGAAGTATTAAAATCTAAAGATTCTTAATCCACAAGAATTTCAGTGTAGTATCAGTGTGCTTTAGTAAATGCAAACTGATATCCCTGCAGACCAAGCTTTTCTACACAGGGATGTTAATCTGCTATATCTATTTTCATTTTCATTGTATAATTGAGCTCTGAGCACGACAAAATGAATGTTCCTTCCTGCTTTTCCACTATATAACCTCCAGGTGGTGCTGTGTTCTAGCCAAATTGTGTTAATATACAAGTAAAAGTCTTCTTTCCATTTTACAATTAAATACTGCATTCTCCCTGTTTTAAACAAAGCTCACCAAAAGTATTTTTTAGACATAATGGTGAAATGGGAGTGTCACAATGGCAAAAATTCCATGAACAATTGTGACTAGGGAACGAGGTGTGTATAATAAATGCCTCATGTATGAAAGTCTGCCCTTGGGCTTTCCTTTTTTCAGGCTGGCTTGTGGCAGCGTGTGCTTGGTGACTTGCAGAAGGGTGTAAGACTGCGTAAGGCTATGGAGCAACCGAGGATTCCCCCAGAGAAGGGTGCTCACACGTCTTACAGTAAAGTCGTGGATGATATCCGGAACAAACGCTACACCCTCAACAAAGTAAGAATGCTTATCAACATTCAGAGCAGTACATCTGAAATGTGGCTAGTACCTGAAGAATTGCTTGTCCAAATTCAAAGAACAAGATCTGTACAAGCTTGGCATTAATGTCTGAAATTTCCCAAACCATAGTAACTCCTGCTCAAAGTAGTATACACCTTTGTTTGCCTGCTGTATTTTGGGTTAGCTGTGATGGCTCAGGAATTCTACTGGGCTCTAAAAAGGAAGTGTGTGTGTTAATATCTTACCTGAAGAGAAACCGGAGTATGTTAAAATCTTACTGTCCACAAACAAATGAGCTCCTTTAATCTCTAGGAATGGATCACACAGTTGAATATTAAGAGTGGAAGAAGCTTCTAAATTCTAGGGTGGGGTTTTGGAGTGTGCTGCTCCTGTAAGTGAAATAATTCTTTTAAATGACTTCAGAGGGAACTGGACCAAGTTCTCATCCTTCATACAGTTCCCTTTGAGAGAAACCACTTGGTCACCAGCTACCCCACCCAAATTGTGTAAAGGGGTTTGAATCTCAAACTCAAAGGCTTGGAGAGCTGGGTTCTTACTTTCATGCTATCTAGTCACTCCCCGTTTGTCAGGTATCAGCACGAAAATTAAAAGAGAGACCCTTCCAGGAGCCCAGCCTTCATGATCAGCTCATGACGGAGGTGAAAAATCCACCAAAGCTTCGGTCCACCTTTATAGAAAAGAGTCGCAACAAATACAAAGGTATGCCTCAGGTGTTAACTGAGATTACTGTAACTTGATGGTTCAAAATCCTTATAATCTATGAGTGAAGTAGAAAGACAAACTATAAGGATCCTGCTTACACATAAGACTGAGGCTGGGCATACTTCTACTGAACTCTTGGCCCTGGTCACATTTTAGGATACAAACGAGAGAGGAACAAAGGGGGACAGTCTTACTATAAGAGCCTAACTATTACACGTAGCTACTGTATGTAACATCTGGTGGTAGCACCACTCTCATGGCCAGAATGATGTGAGGTTGGAGGAGGTGGTATTTGAAGAAGCAACAGTTTAGAAAGATTTATTCAAAGGATTGATTAACACATGCATGCTCATCAGCTGAAAATTACAATGTCAGTAAGGACTGGCATGCAGAGATTCCCACAGAACAGTCATGCTTAGCTCTCAAACTAAATGTATTCTTTTCTTTTGTCAGTGAATCACAAGGAAAAAATGGTAGCATTTGCTTAAGAGGACTTAGGTGGAAGAAGGAAAGAATGTGTGTGCTGACAAAATAGAGGTTACTGTTTATAAGTTCCAAAAATATAAGAGAAGCTAGTCTGGGAGTACATTAGGCAAAGTGAAGTAGCTGTTAAGAGGCCAATGCTGGTGGGTAAGGTACAATATGCTGAATGGAAGTTTTATCACCTGCCCACCTGCCATGAGCTAACCTGGCACTCTTCAGTGCAGTAGAGGTTACTGTCATTGTTGTTGAAACAGAATCCAAAAGCCTGTCTGGTTTTCTGTTTGCAGAATTGATGGCTACCATTTTTCTGTTGCTTAAGGCAGCAAAAATCTTGGGACAGTCCTAAACAAAGATAAGAGAAATGTAAGGACAGTTTAGATGGGGTGGGGGGAATTCATAAAAACTGAACCAGGCATGTTATTTTCTTTTGTATGACTTAGCAACAGTGTACAATGCAGTTTCCTACTTTTGGTATGTGTTCTATACAGTATATGTGTATTCCCCCCCCCCAGAAAACTTTCAGAAGTTGTCTTTGAATTCTCTCTGTGGTGGTATCTTCTGTGACCAAACTGTCAATTCAGTAGATTTCTTGAAAGCTAAAAAACCACGACTGAATTACGTCCAGTCAGACCAAGAACTTAAGGTAACCCTCCCTCCCTCTTTCCCTCCCTCCTCATAGAACTATTAGATTCTAGATAGTGAAATTTCAGACAACCCAGGAAGAGAACCCATTATTTATTGTTAGGTTATTCATAATTAATGACTCATACTTAAACCATAGTTCAGAGTCACATACAGCAACTACAGACAAATGAATGACAACCATCAATGAACCTCCAGAAGAGCCTCACTGTGGTTGGTCCATTTCTATGGAACTCTCTGCAAAACGATGAAGTTTGGGAAGAGTATGTATGACAAGAATCTGGAAATACAATGCTCACTGCCCGTTCTCTATCCATATAAGTCAACATGCTAAATTAAAAATGTGAATTTTCAGCCCTATTCTTATTAGGGCAAACTCAAGTTGGCTCTCATTATTTCGAGTCTGGAAGCAAATATGGGAGTCGCATCTTAAGATCCAGCCTCCTGTGTTTACAGGAAAATAGTACTGTTCTAATAGTAGTTTAAGTTTCTATAATTTAAGGGCATGACCTTACCCAGATGATCATCAGCCTCTGAGCCTACAGTTGAGCATTAACTAATGCAATGGAGAGGAACCCCTTCTGCATAGCAGCTCCTCCCTGCTGCTTCTGCACTGTTTTTATTAGATAGCCAGTTTTGGCCATTGAGCTGGAGCGCTTTGGAAACAAAACTGCAGGGGACACAGGATTTGGCATACTTTGACCACTGTAGCCTCCTCCCTTTCCTGCCACTCCAGAAAGCCCCCTTGACTTCTTCCCTGAGATCAGGTTCCTAAGTTTGGAGAGGCAGCTGCCATGACACTCTCTGTGCTGGCTGCTCTGGGGAAAAGCAGATCAGAACATGGATCCCCAGTTCTGAAATTAGATCTCTGCCTTTGAGCTCAGATCCAGGAATCAGAAGTATCCTGTGGTCACTGTCGAGGGGCCTTAAGATCACTTCCCAAGTTTTTCAAACTAAAGTCAAGTTTGCCATTCTATGATATCTACCAAATATCAGAAGATGGACTTCAGTTTTACTTAGGAAAAGCTAGAGTAGATATTATCTTAATAGCCTTGTTTAATTCCTAGCTATTATCAGCTTATAATCAGAAGACATCTACAGGAAGATCAATGCAAACCATTGCTGATTTGATGAGAACAAGATATTCAGAAATGCAAGATTCCTACCAAAGGTGCAGTTGTAGCATATCTTCAAGGGCCCAGGTACTTTCTACTATGAAGAAACACATGCTGGTTGGTTAAAATGTTTATGAAAAGCAGACACAAGTGTATCAGTAGAGCTGTTGTTCATTAATTATGTTTCTTTTGGGGCAATTACTCTGTATGGTTAACATTTGTTCTCATACCCGAACCCTTGTGCATTGTGTTGATAAATGAAGGCAACTATAAGAGGGGAAAGCACTTACGTGGACCAAAACAGAGGAACAATATCTTATGTCCAATATGTTGAAGGATTTTTCTTCAACATATATGGAGAATAGTAAAAGTAAATAACACCTGTTTGATGTTAAGTTAGATACAGAGTTGAGCATAACACCTTCAATGATTTACAATCAGAATTAAAATATGCTACAATGAAACAATAGAGGAGCATCTGGAGGACCAAGAATAATAGGTCAAATAGGTCCATAGCCAGCTTCTTTCAACGTGGCTTGTACATGTGGAAATGCAATTCATGAAGTGAATATTTCATACATGATACTGAAAACAGTCTTTGGTTTGGCACATATCACTTGTGAGGTTAACTTCTGGTTTTTCTATCTCAGTGTTGTTCTACAATGCAGGATTCCCCCCCCCCCCCAATTATAGCTTCAAGTGAGAATAATGTGAGCCTCACAACTTGTATTGAGAAAATGCTGAAATGTTGTGTCTTGCTGAAAGTAAGATGACCCAGTAGAATCCAATTAATGGAAAGTTAATTTCACTCACTTCCAGAATTTCTGCTTGATGACTATGCGCTTGTGCACATGGGAACAAAATTTCTTCCAGCATTTGCAATTTGATTGGCACTCATGATATGGAAGTTACCCTTCAGTCTTTTATAGTGGATTGATTTTACAGCTATAAAATTATAACACAAACTTTAGCTATCTTCTATATTTAATATAAAAATACTAAGACCTCTATGAATTTTACATCATTCTACTGTAAAGAAATACTCTGATTCTTTTTCCCCTTACAGATTTGCTTTCATTGTCATAACCAGTACTTTATATGGCCATACATGTGTCATCTCTGTAGCAGGTAACTGACTTTAGGGCTTTTGATAAGAAAAATACTGTAAACAACCAGACATATCAAATCTTACACCTAGGATCAGTCTGTATGGGTTGAATCTAATGCTGTCTGGTCATAGCAGAACCCAAACCACTGCCAGAATGGATTCCCCTTTCCTGTCTGCTTTAGAGGACGGAAGTGTCTTTGTAGCAGGTTTGGGATAAACACAGGATTATGCATCAGGAGGGTGGGCAAGGAATGGACTCCTGTAATATTGGATATAACCTCATGATTGCATTTTCTGAAATGCAGGGATCTTTTGATCATCCTGGGGACAAATATTCACATGTATTCTATCCTGCAAATAGTTTAAAACAACAATAACTTCAAAACATGGGACATCCCAAGTCAAGAAACCAACTAGCTGTCTGTCTTGCACTGGTCCTGTGAGGGTTTTTTTACATGATGCATTTATTTGATGCTTTTGATTTCTTACTCAGAGTTGTTTATGGGCTTATCAGACAATGTCATGATTCTCGAGTTCTGCTTCTGTTTTTTTGGAGCACTTTCCAGGTTTTTTTTTTTAAATGGTGAAAATACCCTATTAAATTGGCACTCTGTTACCTTCTATATTTGTAGAATTCTATTTCAGGGCTGCTCCACCTAGAGGCTGGGTAACAGAAAAGTAGGGACTCTTTCTTTGCATTGTCCTACCCTCCAAGGGCATTTTAAATTAATCAGGTACGAGAGAAAACAAATACAAATACCAGTCTTGTAAAGTTACTTTACTTTAAAGGAGGGAGTGGGGTTTATTTTGCTACCAGTTACAATCTCTATTTTTTAATAGAAATCAACTGATTTTTTTTTAGTGTAATCTGCAGGAACTGCTGTATCAAAGTAAGTTCTCTTAAAATAATTCTCATGTGTTTTATCGAATTGCTTGACCCTTAAGAGGTCCTGTCTTCTTACCCTTTAAACATAACATTTTGTTTAATGAGCTAATATTTTACTTGTGGTTTTGCTTTTGTTTTGAAAGCACGTGTCAACTGGATTGCTTGATGACAATCTCATTTCCAACTGATATTTGAAAGACTTAAAAATAGTAGTTGTTCAAATTCCTTATTTATTTATTGAAAGTTTTTATAGACCATTCCATAGCAAACACTCTTGAAACATTTCTGAACTCACCCTTTCAGGCTTCATGCTTATTTGAGAATGTTTGTGCTCTATTTCATTTTGTTCAATTTCCTATGTATGCTTTAAAATCTATAAACAAACTGCACACTCTTGTTCTGGTCTGTGTATACTTGAGCCAATTATTGTAGAAGTGCCCCCTCACACATTCTTCCACGTTCCATAAAGGACTGTGTAAATAGGACCTTTCTACATCATTCTAGAACTGATTAAAGCATTCTGTCAATAGCTTAAATGCCATGCTATTCTTGTATAGATGACTATGCCGGTAAGGCCCTGTGTACGTCTTCCACTTGACTCCTTTGAAGTAGTGCAGCTGGACAAAGAAGATGATCTGGCCCTGCTGGACCAGAAAGCCACACAGCTGGTGTATGAAATAGACCACTGGGATTCTTCAAAGTAAGAATAACAGTAGAAGCAACTGTATTAATACATGCATGTTCTTTCTCCTACACCCCTCTAGCTACTTACCAACAGTTCCTCAACAGATCATGATAGAAACTGGTCTTTAAGAAAAGGACAGCTTGATTCTGAAAATATCCTTTTCACAAGTTGCAAGGTATTCCCTGCCTTCTATATGAGGATGCTTATCTTATAATCTGATTCCTCTGTATCGTTAGGGGAATTATATTAGGGACTCTCAGTTTTGCTGTGCAATTCTGTGAAAGGGCCAACACTTAACACATCTTTGGGAGCAAGTAATGCTACACCTTCATATTTCAGAGTGATGAGTTCTGACTGCATGAAGAACACATGTGACAAAAGTCCTACTGGGAGAAAGATGTATCAGTGTGCCACCTTGAGACATGTAGACCAATGCAGTTTTAAAAAGGATGCGCGTGGGTTCTTCATGAGCAATTGAGTGCCAGATGTTGTAACTAGCATTACAAATGTTGAATCGTTCTCTAGTTTGCACTTTCTGAGCCAGGCAGGCTACTTATGTATTATCTTTAAGCATTTATATATTCACACGCCACTTTGCAGAATATCAATTTAAAATGGCAACTGTTACACATGCAGTGCCTTTGAGGGAGAAGGAATTGAGGCTTCTTGGCATGTTTGAAAGTAGTCTGAATTTGCCTTGTCACTTCCAGATCACCTCTTGTGCTTGAACCCCAGTGCTTATCGCCACCCCTTGCCAGTCGCACAAAGAGCATGATGGATTGGCCTTCTATGGAAATCTGTACTAAATGTGAGCAACGTCTTTTGGAGATCCTTTCCCACCAGCCTCCTTGAGGAAAAAATCCTTATGAACTGAATTGGAATATGGAATTGGAAATGTCTCCCCTCAGATGTAAAGTATTACAAATATAAATCATTGACCTTAAAGGCATAAAGAAAAGAACCTTTGCTTGTTTTATTCCTCCTCATCTTTAGTTCTGAAGGTCCGGATACTGTTGATTTGGCAAGCTGCACTTTAAAAAACAAAAATACATCTCACTGTCTTCATGGCATAAATGCAGAAGCATTTTTACGAGCCATGCTTTTCATATCCAGTCCTTTCATATATCAAGACCAAACATCCAAGACATGGCATTCAGGTTCACCTGATAATGACATCCAAGAGTTTGAAATAATAGGCACTGGTTTGCAATCCCAAGGAGAATGGAGTTTTATCATGGCACTAAAATGTCACATTCACTCTTCTCCTAAACATTCCAAAAATCATTCATGGAAGCCAGTAGACATACATCCTCTACAGAATTTTAGCATATTTTGCAGTGCCTGTTACTTGTCTTTCCTAATATGCTGGATCAGTTGCTGCTAACCTCCAGAATTGAGACTAGGCAAGCTGTTCTTCATCCTGGGGTGTTAAACATAAGATTTTTTCCTATTTTTCTGAGTGGAAGCAATTTTTACTTTCTGCAGAGATGGAGTCAGATAAACAGAGCATTTCAGTGAAACATGTAAAATGGCCAAAAGTTTTAAAAGCTACAGAGTGCTATTGTATTGTATGAGAGTAGAAGAGCTCACGAACCTGATTTTTCATCTGCATATTGCCATATGTATGAGCCATGGTGAACATCTCCCCTCTGCTTGGGGTGGGGCAAATCTCTATGCAGTTGCTAGGGGTCTCCACGAAAAAGATACCCTGTTTATATATGCATATTATTCTATTTATGTTAAGGGATTTATAGTTTACACTTCAACAAATCCCTGGTGGTAGTATATAAGCAGAGCTGGTCATTTAATATTCAAGTAAAATGCAAAGTAAAGGATTCATCCACAGAGCAGAGCTCTACATTTTTTCCTTTTCTCATCAAAACCTGCAATGTATTTGTCTCTAACTACTGCACCATTTATTCTGTGATACTAGAAAATACACCCTTTTCCCCCTTCATCCAAAGCTAGGCACAATTCTAGAATACTGATGGCTAAAGATTTGAGCGGTGCATCCAGATACTAATACTTATTCGGATACTGAATATGTCTGTCTTCATAGGGTAACTGGTGAGCTACTTGGAAAAGCTATATTCTGTAATCTATTTTAAGAGGATGTTTCACACAGCAATACTGCTCTGCATAATGCCATGGTGGAAAAGCATGAATGTATGTGAGGTCTGATAGTCTAGTAAGGCTTTTTGTAGCTATGAAACACAGAAACAGAACAAGTCAGAAGAGGTCTCCCAGGCCATCTAGTCTGACCCCTGGCTCTAGCTGGTTCTGCTCACGACATGTCTACCATGTGCATGTCTAGCCTATCCTTGAACACCCTCACCGATGGGGCCTCAACCACCTCCCGTGGAAGCCCATTCCACACCTTCGGGGTCCTAACTGTCAGGAAGTAGTTCCTGGCATCCAAATTGAACTTTGGTTCCTTGAGCTTGGCTCCGTTGGAGCGCATCCTGCCCTCCTCTGCAGGGGAGAACAGGTCTCTACCCATCTCCGTGTGACATCCCATCACCTATATGTCGCCAGCAGATCCCCTTGGAGTCTCTTCTCCAGGCTGAAAAGAGCCAGTTCCTTCGTAGAATTTTAAAATGCAAATATAGCTGTGTTTTGCATAATGATTCAAAATTCCCCTTATATCCAAGCCTTTTTCCTGCAAGAAACCCAAGGTGGCTTACATAATCCCCCTCCCTCTCCATTTTATCCTCTCAACAACCTTGTGAGGTAGGTTAGGCTGAGCTTCATGGCTAGTAGGGACTGTAACCCAAATCTCCTGCATCCCAGTCACACACACCAGTCCCAATGCCACTCTGACATATTAAGACAATATTTTGCCTTAAGTCAATTCAAAGGCACAAAATAGCATAAGGTTTTGGTGGGATGGCAAGGAAAAAAATCCTAACTATGTTGCAGTCATGAAACTTGCATTGTCTGAGTCTTCAAATATGAGAGGAGCATCAGACCTTAAAAATTGAGTTACTCTAATTTGAATGTCTGCCTCCTCCTACATTTCATCTTAAGATCAGACCATGCAGACTTCATAACTTCAGTATCAAGTCAGTTGTTTGTTTCTACTTTTCATACATCTTGCCTAACTAAGAGTGTAATGCTATGCATGTTTAGTCAGAAAAGCAAGTCTTACAGCTCCCAGCATTCCTTAGCCAGTTTTTCTGCCTAAACATGGATAGACTTGTGCTCGAAGAGATCTTGAGAGCTTGTACACTTTTTGTGTTGGAGCTGACCTAATGAAAGTTCTACCCCAACATAATCTTGAAGTGATTAAGCAATGCTTCCTTAAGTGTTACGGATATTCAAGTGTCATCTGAGAAAACCACTCCTGCCCAATGAGAGGCTTTCCACAAGAGGGCAGCAAACGCTGTAATATTCATGTCTGCCTGCGATGTGGTCCTCCATCGGGTTGCATCAGTCTCATAAGCCTTGCTCTTGGCAAGCCCCTGTAGAGCTGCAGCTGGAGCTCTTGAATCACAGCAAAGTTTATCCAGGTATTATAAAGTAGATGTACTTGCTACAAAATAGTGGATTTTAAAATGGAGGTATTGAAGGCTGATTTCTCTTCTACGGATGACTGTAATTAGAATGTTGCATGAAGAATAAATAGGCCAGTATTCAATACTTATGGACTACCTAAGTTGTATAGATTTTAATGGTGAAGAACAGGCCATTTCTTGAGCTTCTTTTGAGGTATGGAGAGTGACCCCTAGAACTCCATTAAATGGAGTTTCGCTCAGTTTTTCTGAAGGTAAACCTCCAAATAAATTGTGTCACTTTATAAAACAGTTTTGACCATGGAACTACACTGGTGTGTGTTTGCCTTGTGTGTGACACCTACCGCTTAGCCTTATTTTCAATGTCAAGCCTTTGTCACAAAATGTGTGAAATAATATACTTGTGTGGACACATGACTCAGATGGTCCCTAAAGCATTTCACGTGCGAGGAGGGTGTGAGGAACCCCTGTTCTCAGCCAACATTGAAAGGACTTTCGGTCATTGTGCAAGTTGAAGGTCAGCCCTGCCAGCTCAGCTCTGATAAGACCTTGTAGGTGAACATGGAGGGTCTTAACTGGAAAGTGTGCATTTCAAGCATTTGTTTCCTGCCATGTATATGTGCAAAATTAAATCAAACTTCCCTATTGATAAAAGGATAGCAATCCTTGTTTTGGTGTCTTGACAGTCTTTATCTTCTTATCCCATTCCTGCCCTCTGCTAGGATGAGGTAGGCAGACATTTTGTTAATTTGAGAAATTGTCCTACACACCATTACAAAATGGCTGAGAAGTGTAACAGAAAATACATAACTTCCCTAAAAGACTGATGTGGCAAGGCAGAAATGGGTTCTGAGCTTCAACACAGGAAACAACTCCTTTGGAGCAGGAATTTTCAGCAGCAACAGAAACCTGGTTACCTGCAACACCAGCCGCTGGCAAGAAAAGTTGATAGGAGGGGCAATGTGACCTGGTGGGTACCAAACAAGGTGTCTAGTAGAGAATTGGTGTCTTCAGGTGTCATCTTGCCTGCCGCTCTTGCTCTAGGTGGAGAAACCCCTAATCTCCCTCCAGCTTTGTATAATCAACTTTCATGAGCAAGATAAGCACATGTATTACCAAAAATAGAAGACAAAAAAGACACTTATTTCTACAAAATGTGAATATGGAAGTTATATTGAGAGGTGAAAATCTAGAAAAAATACTCTAAAAAGAAATACAGATGACTCACCATAATGGTCGTACTGACCAAGAAGCCTGTGTGCCTGGTTGCACTGCCTTCCAAGTTGAGGGGCAGCTTCAGAGCCCCTGCTCCTCTTACGGTGTCTTGTCTTTTCAACTGGATTTAAACAGGCAGCCCTTTAAACAGAGGATGTCCACAAATAGAAGACTCTTCTCTGTAAAATAGGATACATGACAAGCCTAGAAAAACAAAGCAATGGAATCGCTATCTCAGAAGACGTTCTTGGTAAGAATGTATAGTTTGAATGCTTGGGGAAATTATCCTATCCTGACAGTTTCAAAGGAAAAATAGATATTGGTTTAGGCTGCAACAAATGGCAACTATCTATATATTGCTGTGTAAAGTGATCGTTTGCAAAGAATTGTTGATTTCCAGATTGGCACCAGAGAATCATGCCATACTGATGCCCACAAGGCTTTTCTTAGATGAGGTACTTAGTGTGCTATTAATTACTGTATCTAATTTTGGTTTTTCCACACTATTGAGATAGGTGCTCCACATAAAGAACCATTTTCTGCTGCACAACTTCTAGAAATATGGGAGGAAATAGAGCACTATTTCCCCCCTTTTGTGCTTCAATAGCTCATTTTCCCATGTTTAAAAAAATAGAAAAGTGGTATGAAAAACCAAAATAAAACTGGTGGATCGCGTCATCTAAAGAGCTTATAAAATTATTAATAAGGTCTCACAAGTGCTTAATAAATTCCTCATGTAGAAAAGCTCTGCCTTCATGTAATGAATAGTCAGTACAGTATTGAATAATATTTTCCATATTAACCTCGGAGCAGTGCTATGACTGAAAGCATGCAGAGAATTCCCAATATTGTATGAAATTAAGAGTGTAATCTTATGCAAATTTAGCATTGCTGGGTGGGGAATGCAAGGGTTTTAGGATTTTTTTTCTGTCTAAAACCTTCATAGGATTGCTTTTTAAATGTTCTTCAAGAAATATGAAACAGTCGATTTTCCTGGCAAGTCTCTTAAGTTGCTGCTTGGGCTGAGGGAAGAAATTGCCTACTTTGAAGTCATTGTGTGGACTTTAACAATTAAGCCTCATGTTTGTTCACAGCTCCTGATTTTGTGGCCCTATATATTTCGTAACTCAAAACAAGCATCTTTGAGGGTGCACAGTAAACACAAATATGGGGCAGGAAGAGAAACCACTGAATGGTCTAAGTGTTCGAACATGAGTCCCTTTTCTTCCAGAAATAAGTATCTTGTGTACATGCAAACCTGAAATGTCTCGTTTCACCACTCCCCTTGAAATACAGTACACGGATGGCTAGAAGTTCTGTAGCAAATCTTCTCGGGGCACATTCTGGTCTGATCTCATTACTGCCTATAACTACTTAGATCATATTTCTCACGGAATGACAGCAGGCTCTTTTGTTCTCTAGAGTTTTTATGAGACAATATATGTCAAACTAATCTTTGGAGATAAATCAAACACACAGCCACGGTTGTTAAAAGCTGTGAGTGGCTTCCTCCTCCTGCCGTTAATTGTGGCCAGTTATAAAAGAAGGGGAAGAATATAGAGATGAAGAGTAAGGGAGTGGGCAGATCCCCTCCACCCCACAAAGTGTTTTCTTGGGTTCCATCACCCATAGCATTCCAAGACTGCCATAGCAAAAGCCTGTTTTGCATGCAGATGCTTCTAAGAGCAAGACTTACAGATTTATTTAGGCTGTAATCTTGTATGTACTTACTTGGGACTGAGTTATGCTGAATTTAAGGAGGCTTGTATCTCAAGAACGTTCATAAAATTGTGCTGCTAATTTTCATTCTAAAAACGATCACTTGTGTGAGCCTGCCCACCTATTAAGGTCACCTCTGACACTTCTGCATGTCCAAACACTCCAGAAATAAGCTTGCTTGGGAGATGGCCTATGCAGTAGCTGTACCTACGACCTGGAATCCCCTTCGTTTTTGGAAAGCTTTTGTGCTCTAAAATGTGATCTTATTGAACTTTTTTTTAAAAAGCTGGTTCTGGTTTCTGAACACTATTGCTGTTGCATTCTATTACTCTTGGACAACACAACAAACAATGCTGATGTAAGTAGGGAAAGCTACCTGGCATGCAGAGTAGCTGTAACAAGGAATGTGGCTTGTTTTGGTCACCAAGATCGTGTGAACTAGTAACAGGTAAGAAGCAGAATAACCCTCTCCCCAGCCCGAGCCACTTTTTCTTAAGGTGAAGCTGTTCCATGACAGGTACATGTGGAAACACTCCGTGTGAGTGAACTATGTAGTAAGGGCCAAATTATACATAATATGGGTATCTGTGATCAAATCTGATGACTCTTTAATACTGAGTAGTAGCTACAGTGTTATGAGTGTGAGAACTAGAATTGGTGTTGTGAGGAGTAGAAGATTAACCTTCTACCTTGTGCCGCTCTTTGATTCCCCCAAACTGCTAAAGGAAAGGGGCTAAACTTCTTCCAGTGTTACTGTCCCAGTCCAGTCCTTTTTCCCCACTACCATCATATACACATGTCTGGTGATTTTAAGGGATGTGTGAGAGTTTAAGTTGGGAGAACTAATCACAGGCCTCCCATGTAACATGTTAGGTTCTTAGATTCTCTGCCAATGCATGTCTTGGATTGTTTATCACTTGGCCACTATCAAGCTATATCACTCTGATGTCTTAAATACAATACATTTCTCACCACATTCATTATGTGTTAACCTTTTCTTCCACCCACCCACCACAATCCTTGTCCTCATTTTCCCTCTGCCAAAGCTCAAACTGTAAACTCCTTTGGATAAAAAGCTATTCGTTATGCTTCTGTAACCCATAAATTGTCACATTCTTTGATGAGACTATCTAAACAATGATATCATAGGCTGGGTTGCATTTCTGTGGATCTTTCAGTATAAACCACATTTCTGTGAACATTGTCTAACCTCACAGATATAGTTGTGGCTTCAAATCATGCTTCTATTTCTATTCTAACATTTGAAATTGTTACATTGGAGCCTGGATGAAGTAGATTTATCTTCTTTTTCCAAGGTTGCTAAGCATTTCTGAAAATGTGCCCCATAATAAATATTCCTTGGGAGTTTTTGAATTCTGGGCAGAATGTCTGTTACTGCATTCGCCAGAGTTTTTCAGTGAATCTTTTGTTTGAATAACATTTGCTCAGGTGTTGGAAAGGGAATGAATCTCAGTTCTTTCTTTCCCAATGCTCACACACCTCCAGAACTTGCCTGTTTTTTTAATGCCTCTCGATATTTTCAGGATATAAATTATTGCTCCAGTAAACAGACATGTTCTTTGCATACAACTTAGTCAACATAAACTTTATTTGAGTGTTAATAGGTCTTTCTGAAACAACTATTAAAGGTCATTCTTGGTCCTCCCACTAAAAGTGTGGTTGTAAAGTTAGTTCTGAAGAATAATGACACAACTCTTAAGTAATGTCCCTTGCTGGATAATCTGATAGTAAGAGTAGTCAGCTTTCTAACATTCTGGAGTTGGTTTGACTTACCCCCGTATTTCTGCTATGAAAGAGGGAAAAAGCCCTGCACTCTCCAGTTTCTTCACACTACATATAATCTCCTACAGTAGAAGCACAGAACTTCCAGCCCCCAGGGCAGCTGAGTTTGGCTTATCCAGCTTTTTGGCTCCCCCCTCCCCCCCATGTTCCTTAGAAGGTATCCACACACTGCTATCTCCAATCCAAGGCCAAGGGTAAGTAGAAGTTCTTCTGTTGGTAAGTACCAGCAGCAGATATACCACTATTAACTCTGATTTGACATAGCAGGGGATGAGGGGCTGGCAAGCATTGGGACTTGCCTACACCAGAGAGAGCAGCTGCTTTCCCCTACGTGTGTGTGAGTCCCGATGCCCTTCATTCAGAGATGGCAACAGGGAGTCTGTGCTAGGGAGTGTGGCAGATTGGAGGCAGTTGATGGGATGAGGGGCAGCAGAGAGTTGTACGCCTCAGTCCAGCATAAAGGATTTAACCAAGGGGCATGGTGTCAGGAGATGAAGCCATGCCCTCATCTGGCCTGTAATGGTGGGCAGTTCAGTGGCCTACCCTCTAGCAGTTCTGTACCCCTCCTGTGCACCTTTGTCATGTTCTCCCATAAGTCACTTTTCTAAAGTGAAAAGTCCCAGAACTTTCCTAGTAGGGAAAATTGATCTAGTGCAGGGATAAACAGAAGGTATGTCAGGCTCTGAGGAGTGATTTACAGTAAATTAGCAAGGATTCCTGAACCTCAGTTGTTTACTAGCAACAAAATTCCCCCTTCCCTTTCAAAAACATATGGCTGAAATGAAGAAAATTTGCAAGTTGCTAGGAGTGGATTTTTGTGTGGAGAGATGGTGAACTCAGTTCAGTTCTAGTGCTCTTGGGATCAAACCTATGAAATTCAAAAGCCCTGTTCAGTTGTTATACTGTATTGTGTTGCAGTAGTTACTGGGGAAGATGGGTGGCAGAATGCTGTTGCACTCATGTCTGCTTATTCGTTTTTCATGTACGCTTGGTCGGCCACTGTCTGAACAGAATGCTGGGCTAGATGGACCCTTGGTCTGACACAGGGCGATGGCGGCAGTTCTCCTCTTCGTTACATTTTATGTCACCAAGTAGGTGAATCTCTCTGGGAGGTTTTCAACAGTGCATAAAAGCAATGTAATAAAATGCAATGAAAATGCTATAGAAACTGATACAACAGCTTAAAAATACAGTGAAGAATAACCCTCCAAATGAGAAACACCTGGGATGGGTAATCCCCTCAAGCACCTGGATAGCTTTAAAAGCCTTGGCATGAAGGGCCATCTTAACCTGGTACTGAAAAGATGCCAAGGTTGGAGCAAGGTGGGCCACAGTGGAGAGGTCAGTCCGTAGATGGGAAGAAAGCCCTTCTTCTTGCTGCCACCTTCCTTCAGAGTTGGTACTCAGAGGAAGGCTCTGGATGTTGGATGGGCAAACTGCAGTTGAGAGAAATGCTCCATCAAGCATGGTAGTCCCAAGCCACATAAGGCCTTATAAGTAAAAAAACAGCACCTTAAATTGTGTGCAGAACACATGGGCAGAAAAATGCAAACTGGCTGGTTTTATATATTCAGACCTACAGGCTCCAGTTATTAATCCAGCTGCTGCATTCTGTATGAGATGCAACTTCTAAACAGTCTTCAAATGCAGTCCCATGTAGAGGGCTTGCAGTGTAGATTACG